AAAATCGTTCTGAATCGATTAACGAGGATTAGGCACCGATGAATAAATAGATTAGTTTATTTTTTTTTTTTTTTATCAAAAAACTTTATTTATGCGAGTACTATTTATTGCTGGCAAGAAAAAAATTTTGTGGCTTTTTAAGACATCGAAATTTTGCAAATTGTAATTTTTGGCTCTTCCGACTCAAAAGGTTGCCGTCCCCTGGTTGTCCTATAGCAATAGAACAAAATAATTACACTTGTCATAATTACAATTATATAATTACAATTGTCCTAATTAATTAGGACAAAATAACACACACACACATATTAGATTTGATTTAAGTTATAAATAATATTATATTTTAATAGTTAATATATTATAATATTTATTATATAATATTTAATATTTATAATATTTATTATAACTTATTAGAACAGTTATTTTTTGTTTCTTATTTGTTTTTTTTTGTTTTTTAATTTTTAATTATTTTGCTAAGAGCAAAATTAGAAAAAGACAAATGTAAAAAGAGATGAGAGATAAATAATATTTTTTAGTTGTTTTTATTGTTTTTCACGAATATAAAAATGTCCTCACATCTGAAATGCATTTTAAGAAGCTTTTACAAAGATTAAAATCCCCCCATCGCAAATGCCAAACATTGAATAATGAAACAACGAGACGTAACTTTGATTATGTTTTTTTCTTTTCATTGTCAACTTAAAAAAAAAAAAAAAAAATACACAAATTAATAGCAAACTTGATAATTTGATTCAAACGATGAATCCTAATTAACTGTTAGACAATGGTTAACAACTGATCAGTAAAATCTTTGAATATATGTATATAAATATTTAATTATGCGTGTTTCACGTGTTTCATTTACATGATTACAATCTTAATTTAGTCAATTGAATACGATAGGTATTTTTAAATATAATATATAATGCATTGTAGGGTTGCATTAAATAATAATTAAATAAATTTAAGGATTACTAGTTTTAGGTTTTCTTTAAATAAATGATTAATATATAATATATAATATATATATATATATATATATATATAATATATTAATTATTTATTATTTTTTTATTATATCAATTTTATATTAATTATTAATTATTATATTATTAATTATATATATTATTACTTATATATATATATATATATATATATATAATTATAATTAATATATTAATTAATATAAATGATATACAACATAATTACATATAAAGATAATTAATAAATAAATAAAATTATAATATATATAATTACAATATATTAATTATATTATAATATTAATCATAATATTAATAAATAAAATAATAATATAATAATAATTATTT